AATTGCGAACTGTTCTGCAAGCGTGAATTGATCCAGCTGTCTATGAAATCGGGCTTTACAAGCTTCACGAGATCGGGGCTCACAACACGAGGTGCACAAGCTATACTGTTTACGCCGCTGACCATGTGGACCATGGGGACTGGATAATCCAGGCCGTTCGGGATCTGGGGTGCGTTGGCGCGTTCTGGCTTCTTCTAGTAGGCTTGGTGCACTTACCATGTGACCTCGTATTGGACAGTTGGAGTCGAGCGGGATTGCTTGGATCCAAGGATTCCCGCCCTCATAGCTGCTGCGACAGTGGATAGCCCTCCTCCACAGGAGTGACGTTTCATTACAAAGCTATTGTGCCCTCGCCCGAACGCTCCAGAGTCATCAGAGCCTGCGGAACCAGAGTTGATACCAAGTTCCACCCCCTCGGAGGACTGCCAAGTCGTGCATTTGCTTAGTGCACACTCGTTATCGTGAACTACTTTGTCCAACGCTGATGGTCTCTTCCCAGAGGCAAAATATGTGGTCAGTCATTCTAGGCGAGCGCCACGGTTCAACAGAACTACACAGAACCATACAGAAGGTCTCGGCTGCATTCTCGGCAGCGCCCAGGATTGCCCAGCCGAGGGCGTTCAACGGGAAAACACCACCAGCCGTCATCGCAAACCGTGCACATACCATGGTCGTCCGCATGTTTACGATCGCTGCAAACATCGACTGTCGAGGCACTCGGTCAATATTACACTGTCGGTGCTATGCAAGTCCCGAACGCGACCTTAGTCACCGGCCGGACATAATTGTTAAACTCTAAAAAGTGAATAATCGCGAGATGTGTAAACGCCGATCTTCCGAAACCCAGCGGCCCTCACAATACCTAATTCCTTATCACCCTCCACTTCAACACCATGCATCATGCGCCTGCCTAGAATTACACAACGATAACCATCGCATGGTCTAGACCCCGCGGGCAAGGCGACTTCGTCTGGCTAACTACTAGTAGCGCCGCCTACGCACTGCTTGGCCGGCTGGCGGAGAGGAAATTGGTGCGGGGCTTCCTTGTCGACGCACGTATCGACCACTTATCGCCGCTCGTCGGACACAACGGAGCGGCATGGTAAGCTGCTCGGGGAGACTTGCCACGCGTTGCGCATATCGTAGGCCGAATCAGCGCCTTGGGCTGACACGGCGGAGCTGGCGTTAAGGCACCCTTGTGTGATAGCGTGCTATAATTGGCTGCGGGAGTGACGGGTGGGCCATGCGATGCTTGGGTGCCGGGGATAGGGTTTTGGGTTGGTGGCCTGGGTGGGTGCATGGGTGGAGTTGGGGTTTGGGATGCCGCATGAGCAATGGCATTCTCAGGTGAGCCGTGGGAATCTGCGACAGTATATAGGCAGGCGGTATCCCCACATGAAGGGAGACACACAACATCGCAGATTTCCTGTATCAGACCCCCAGATACCAAATACATCAAATTATCATCTACTCTAGTCTATCAGACACTACCACCCCACGACTACAATCACACACCTCACATGCAACCCATCCTACCAACAACCATGTCTTCACCCGCAACTCAATACGTCTACGTCCCCAACCTCGTTGGCGGACAGATGCTCAGGATCCCCATCGAGGACGTCGAAGCCGAGGGCCAAATCTCCATTGCCCAGCAGCCCATCGCGAGCCCAACCCTCTCTTCACGATACGTCCGCGACTCGTCACCATCGCCAAGCATGGAGAGCGTCGACGACACCGACGAGTAATAAACTCATACACCAAGGCGACGCACGAAAGACGAAGAAATGACGGCAAGCCTTGCACTGGTCTGGCAGTCCAGCAAGGCGGAACTAGCTAGCAGCGGACAGTCGTTGCCAAGCAGCCTAGTCGCAGCCTCGAATCCCCCACGAGTCAAACTCAGGGAGGACTGACATCATCGCCCCCATACCCTCACTGCAATCGCAACACTTCTTCCGAAATGACGACAGTCGGTGCCGTTGGTGCCGAGATGCCACCGGAGAAAACTTTCACATTGCGTGGAGTTGGCGTGTGGGGAACACGGCAAGCAAGGAGAGGATCTTTGGCTTGGCTGGAGTTGGAAGGAAGCTTGGGGATGTGCCGATCGGAGATGGATAGGGCAGGCAGGCACGCGTTGGCTTGGCGTGTGGATCTGGGATGGATCGATCGGTAGTCTTGGTTACTTAATGTCTATTAACTAATTTTTTGTGGTACTTTTGGTCACTTGATCTTTTCTATGCTGCATGAGGATGTGAATTGCCAATTGTGAATTGCGGTGTGCGTGCCTGTGCTCTGCATGCATTGACTTTGGGATGGAAGAAGCAAATGGAAGTGATGTTCTCTTTCCTGCATATCTTTCATTTCCGGTGTGCATGTGAGACGTGTCGTGTATTATGTGCATCACGATGACGGGGAAGAGTAGCAGTGGTGCCGAGCCAACAGATGACAATACGTTGACAGCATCCAAGGATACCTTCCTACATCATCATCAATAAGGGCTTAATGTACTCTAGGGATGTTCACAAAACTTGCAATGAACTTAGGTGGGAAACAGGTGGTACACTCATCCAGAACGAGCTTTTGGCTGAATCGAGATAACTTGGAAGAACAAGTGCTTCCTTTTACATGGCCACCGGCGCTTCCATGCACGCTAACCAAGAACAAAACTGAACAGGCCTGCAGCCTACATCAACTCAAAACCCTACAAGATAGGTGACTTGGAGTTGATGTAGGCTCTAGACCTGTTCAGCTTTTTTCTTGTATGAGGTGCATGCATAGTCATATGACATATCATCTCCCTGTATTCGTCTCCACTCCCCATGTTATCCTTCATGCGTGACGTGTTCATCAGCCGTAAGCTCAATCCAAAACTCCAAATCATCCGTTGCCGTGGACCTCGCTGGCATCGTCACTTTACCTGCCCACGTACCTTCCTTTTCTATCCAGAGGCTTTTCATCTTCAGATACACACGTAACACTTCACGCTGAATCGCTTGTTGCATCTTTCCCATATCCGCGGATGTGATGGCGGTATTATCGCAAGGTCGGCGAATGTACTGATTCATGTCCAAGTCTGCCCGAGCTGCGTCTCCCCAATCGCCCTTTTCCGGGTCTGGGAAAGCCAGGTCGCGTATGAATACCTTGAAGTATATGGTTAGTCGGGTAAGATACTGATGGTACCGCGGCGCGGGAAAGAAGATACCGCCTTGCATGGCTAGTGGGTCGCGGAAGAATTTGGGTGATATAGAAGACGTTATGTGAGGTAATTGGATGTTCGCTGTCGATGCTGACTGTGCTAGTACGCTTTTGCGGATGTAGCACTGAAATGAATTCCTTGCGTAGAAGAAGCTAGCAGCTTCGTCGTGAAGTTGCGTACATGTTCTCAGTAATGCGATGCCCACAATTTTCGTATGTATCATAGGAGATAGTACGATGCAGTCTCGGGGTTTCAGCAGATGGGCGTAAATGCAGTTGCGCAACTCCGGCGGGATGCTAAGCAAGCTGTGTTTCTGAAGATCGACAGGGACACTCTTCGAGACAGTGCGCAATCGTCGTGCTGATTCCGTGCTATGATCTCTATTCGAGCAACGGTGCGTCCTTTTACTGATCTGTCCGGTCAGCTGTAATGGTGTCGGCTGCGCGACTGCAGTTGGGCGTACAAGACCGAGTGCTGACGAAGCTTGGTTTCCCATAGCAGTAGATCTGTAGATCAAACTTAGTACGGATGCAGAATAAGAGCGTCGCGTGGATCGTTTCTTCTCTCGCACTTAGAAAGGGCATATGGGTGTCGCCTTCTCACGAACCCTTAGGTAGGCATGCGCTGGATGCAGTCACCAGGGAAGCATTCCAAGGCAGTGCGTTGGATGCATTGTTGATAGCTAAAGTGGATCTTGTGAGTTAACTGGAATCTTTTCAGTTCCCCAAGGATGTGAACCATTCGTTTCTCGGCCTTGCCCGTCGCGATGATGAATTCGCTGTGTGATCTGTACTCTCGACGCTCGACAGACAACCTTGGAAGCCGCGAGGTCACATCCCATGGCTTTGCATTGACTATCGAGAGCTGTTCTTATGCAATTGGGGCTTCAGAAGATGTTAATGACATACAAGTCATCAGCATCAATATAACGAAGAGGGTGAGAATGTGAAGGGCTAGAGGGGCTGCTGGCCGGTTGAGCGACCCAGACAACCTTGGAACGCACGGACGGCTCACCAAGACACTCGTCTCGTCATTATGGACGAACTTTAGTCCGTCAACACCCTCACGTCACAACCTACAGCGCTGGCAAAGCACTTGCGATACAATGGTACTATCATGAGCATTCTCGTTTCTCTCGGGCGCCGCGAGCGCAGGACTAACTAGGTGACGACGAATGGCCGTCGCGTCATTGCCTCCCTAAACCAACTGTCGTCTACGTGCGTGTCATCGCACACCAAGACGATATCTTGCTGTCATTCGTGTCATCATCAAAGACGGAGGCATCCCTTGACACGCAAACCAAACAAAGCCGACACTCACCTCGGGATGTGGGCCACGTAGCGTTCACACCACCCGACGTGGAGATCAGGTTGCTCGGGACAATGCGACCCATACGGATAGTGACTGACCATGTATTCGCAGCTCGGGTTAATTCTTCTAGAAGACCTAACACACTATCATGCATCCACAAGATGGCGCCAAGTCTGGGGTCAAGTCCGGGGTGGAATCTGGGGTAAACACCTCATCAGTTGTACAGCCATCAACGGCTCTAGGTCTTGAAGGGGCTTGAGGCTTGCCAGGCCTGATTATATTATCATCTTGGCTCTTAACCCTAGGTAGCTAGGTCGACCGGCTCCACATCTTACTCTCGACTTTCAACGTCGCCATGACCCGAGGTCGTGGGTGCATATTGTGCTGGACAGAGAGGTCAACAATGGGTGTACTGATGAGCTATAAAGACCAGCAACAATAAGCTTAACAGTGTTCAACCTCAGCCAGGAACGCAGACACCACGACATCAACCATGATCGCTTTCAACACCATCGTCGCATCTCTACTCTCCATCTCATCTTTCACCACCGGCAGTCCAACAGGACGCCAGGCACCCACCTACCTCAACTGGAAGACCTTCAAAGCCAACGGCATCAACCTTGGTGGATGGCTTGCCCAAGAAGCCGTTATTGACCCAGCCTGGTGGTCGCAGAATTGCGGAACCACGACTGATGAGTGGACCTGCTGTGCCAAACTAGGATCGCAATGCGGTCCTGTTTTGGAGCGTCGCTATGCTACGTTCATCACACCCGCCGATATCGACAAGCTAGCCACTGCTGGTGTGAACGTCTTGAGGATCCCCACAACCTACGCTGCATGGGTCAAGGTTCCTGGCAGTAACTTCTACAGCGGCGGCCAAACTCGGTTCTTCAAGAACATCGCATCCTACGCAATCGCAAAGTACGGCATGCAAATCATCCTCGACATTCACTCCCTTCCTGGTGGAGTGAACGGTATGGGCTTTGGTGAAGGCGAAGGCCGCTTCGGTTGGTTCAATAACGCCACGAACCTCGACTATTCCCTACGCGCTGTCGATGCAGCACTGGCCTTTATTCAATCCTCTGGCAGTCCGCAATCATACACTCTAGAGCCGATCAACGAACCGGTGGACAATCGCGACATCACAACCTTCGGCACACCAGCCGCGTTGACAGACAACGGTGTCGCATGGGTACAGAAGTACATTGACGCGGCTATTGCGAAAACAGCAGCCGTCAATAAGAACATACCCGTGATGTTCCAAGGCAGCTTCAGAGGTGAAGCGTTCTGGTCTCCCAAGTTCCCAGCGTCTACCAATCTCGTCTTCGACGTACACAACTACTATTTCGCTGGCCGCCCAACAGACTCTGATACCGTGAGCGCAGACATCTGCTCTGATGCCAAGGCATCGGCAGGAGATGGCAAGTTTCCTGTATTCATCGGTGAATGGTCGATTGAGACGGTGGCGGACAACAAATTTGCAAATCGTCAGAAGAATCTGAACACCGGGCTGTACGCCTTTGCAAAGTACACTAGGGGTAGCGCTTACTGGACTGCGAAATTCTCTGGGAATGTGCCGGTAGCTGGCGAGGGGGTGCAGGGAGACTATTGGAATTACTCGGCTTTTATCGATATGGGTATCGTTAAGCCTGGTGAAGGCGCGAAGTATTGTTCCTAAAGGGTTGCATATGTAGATCAGCCCAAACATGACTTCATGTAGCGAGGAGGCCACACTGAATCGTGGGCACGTAGTTATGTTCGATAGCCGACCATATAAAGAATACATTCGCTCCTGCTTCTTGCTTCCGATAATTTTCACAACTATGAGCAACCTAAATATATCAACATTGACGGCGTAGAATCCAACACAGCCGCAAAAGTGACAGAAAGCCTTCCATCATAAGCTCATCTTCCCATCAAGTCTCAATACCCTCCCCCTGTCCAAGCATTAGCATACCTGCTCACCAACAACACACGCATAGGGCATGATGCACTCACAAATTATCACATCAACCAATCTAGGTTTAACCTCCTCGACATCCTGATCAAGCAACACCTCCCACAGCTCCACCACACTTTCCGCCGTCATCATGAACCAGCCAAAATACGGCCGTGCGCCCTGACCTCTTCTCCTTGGATGATGATCCGCAGCAACGTAGTCCACCTCGACACACTTGAGCCATCGCCGCTTGGTACCAGAGGACTTGCTGTAGCCGTGGTATTGATGTTGGTATTTCTGCACACTCTGGGGAGTTGCGGCGTCGCTTGTGTTATTGTCAACGGGTACTTTCGTGGTCTCGTTCTCTTCCGGCAGAAAGTAAGGATCCATCAAAACGTCCGCGTCAGCGACAAGGAAGAGACGCTCGCTCCTGTAGAAGTTCGGTGGGGGCACAGAATTTTCTGGTGGATTGAGATAGGTCTGACGAAGCTGTTCGATAGTAAGACCATCATACAGGGAAGCATCCGAGCGGAAGTCTAGGCGTAGGAGGGAGCGTAGGAGTTGAGATGTTGTCGGTGGCTCATCGTCTTGTGACCCAGGAAGGGATTCTTCGACCCCTAGCTGAATGGCTTCGATTAGAGATTCCCATTGCGATTGAGATTCAGGCGTGTAGCATGTGCGGTAGATGGTGTAGCCCCAATTGTGGTAGGAATAGGGCTCCTCGGCTTGGCCGTCCGTTGTTATGATCAGGTCTCGTAGTATGTCTTCGGGTTGCTGGATCATTGCGTTTGAATATGAGATAATATTGGTACGGAGGGTACGGGATTAGATATGTGATGCTTATGTTGGAAGAAATAGTCAGTTGGTAAACTGACGGCACGCGCAGATTTTATACTTGCTCGGGTATATTCGAAGGATCGTTTAGGTTTAAGGCAACAACTGCGCTAGCTTCTTACGAGCTGGTTAGATGAGACTGTTTTGTTGCTGGATTTTGCTCTTGGAATAGGTCTTGTACATTGAATATCCACATATACATGAGACAGAACAAATGGAGAAGCCTTCGTAGATGCGAAGGCTTGTAAAGTATCGTCCTACGTGTTGCACTCCTCCATAGTTTCGATCAAGACCTCCGAGTCATCAACAACCACCGCGACGACGTTGTCCTACCGCCCGCGAGCATTAACCTGCCCAGCTATTCATTATGCCTACATTATGCACGTAAGTAGAGGCGGTCACGCATACCGTGGCAAGTACCCACCTGCGAAATCACCCTTTTTCCTCAAAGCCTCCCTCACCTCATTCTCTCTGCGTATCCGCTCTTCCTTCTCCCTATTCTCCTTGCGTATCCGCTCTTCCTTCTCCTCTTTCTCCCTCTGCTTCCTCGCCTTCTTCTCAGCCTTCTTCTCTTCCTTGGCTACCTTTGCTTCCTTCTCCTTCATCATCTTCTGGAACCCATCATACCAACTAGCATTGCCACTATCTGATCTATGTATGCTGTCTTTGCCCAGCACACGATCAGTCTTGTCTTGCTGCCTTTTACGGCCGCGGTCCCACACTTGCCACATATAGGGATCGTTTTCTAGTCCTGGTGGTGGTGTAAGCTGGCGGGGCTGTAGATTCTTCCGGGGTCGGTTCGTGCGTTGGAAGTAGGCTTCTGGGGTTATCTCACGGCCAGGGAATATGAGACTGGAGGTAGTGGAAAAGGTGGGCGATATGTTACGTGGTTCAGGTTGAAGAAAAGTGGAGGAATACTCTTGCAGGTGAATATTCGGAACAGATTGCGTGGGAGTGGTGCGTTGATAAGGGCCAAAGGAACTCTCTGATCGAGCGGTGGTTTGTTGCTCATCTGGTGCGGTTGCATCTGCACTGGCCCCTTCATTCGCGCCTCGCTTTCCTTTCACCCAAGACAGGGGCCTGACAAACCCAAGTGGCAGATACTTCCTCAACGAGGGTTCTGAGTCACGGCGGGTAACTTTCTTCTTGAGCTTCCGAGTCTCCTTCGAGTCTCGTGATTGAAGCACAGCGCTTGATGCGACAGATTGAGATTGAGGTTTCTTTTGCGGCCGGGTTGGAAGAACGGGCGGACACCAGTATCCGGACATACCCATTAGACCGACTGGGGCTTCTGAAGAAGGAGAGGTTGTAGAAGGCGTAGAGGATGATGAGGCTGCCTGACTTGCAGGCTGATGCGCAGCGCGTTGGGTAGAGTGACGTGGTACAAATGTATGCCACTCGGCTTCGTGTTCTTCAATAAAACGAGATGCGTTGTATTTATGTATGCTCGTACTGGGGCTGCCAGCAGGCCCTTCGTAAACGTCGATGACTGAGTCTTCATAGTCTTCTAAACTCAGAGCGTGCGACAGGTAGGACTGTTCATCGGTGGTTTTATCTACCTGTCTGGGTTCATCAGTTGCATATTTTGGTCTCTTTCTGATATTCACATATCAGAGACTCGCTTACGTTAGGACTCTCCGGCTCCAACCCAGCCTCCTCATCAGCCCAACGCACCCAAGCTCTCTGCTCTGTCATCCGCGACATCATGCTTGCTGCATCGTTAACTTCCTCCTTCTCCTTGGTGTCGTATTGTCTTTCCTCCTCCTTCTTACTCGCCTCCCTTTGCCACATTTCCTCAAGAGTCAACCTCGGACTGTCCCCCACCACGTCGCCATATATCATCTGCGTTCTGCGCCTCATCTTCTTTATTGCTTTCTCGATCTTTCTTACGGCATCGACATAAACTTCTTCATCCTCGAAATGCACGGAGACTTGCCAGCCCCATTTCTGAAGGTCTTTGAGTATGCTTATCTCGGCGGGGAGGGGGTCAGCGAGCGTGTAGGTCAACAGCGGGTTGCAGGCGTCGATGGACTGCGCGGGCGGTTGGACTAGATACGGCATGTTTTCCTTGCAAGCGTTGCGTACTGATGGGAAATAAGCGGAGGACAGGAGGCTTCTTATGCAGACGGGCGCATTCATGGTCGAGTAAAATGGCTACTATCGTCAACATGTTCGCATACTTCACGCTCAACATTCTCACACTCTAGATATGTCATTGCCAGAACGACTGTCCTTGAATGTTGAACAGGGCGAAGACATGTTGCCATTGAATATGTCTATTGGGTATCATATGCTGTTATCGTCGGCGCAACACCATTCCATGACGTCGTTATCGTTGGCCGTTTCTTCGTTCTTCAGTCCTCTCATGCGATAGAGCCAGCTTCTAGACGCTCTGAAGCGAGGTTTTGAGGTACGGTATCCTGCAACGCGCGGTTCGCAGTCTCAGGACGTGATGCGCCGATTACGGCGAAGGCGTGAAGGTTGCAGAGTCACAGATTCGCTTTCCACATAGTTCCTATCACGAATGTGAGCATCTATCAAACGCGTGTATGCCCGTTGTATGAGTCGCGATGGAGCTTTTGTATTTGGTGTGGGGTGAGGAGTTGATGCTCAGGGAGGGCTCAAAACCATATCTTGATCAGCTCCTCTGACACGGCAGATGGAGTGAGAACGCCAGACTCTGTGATGATGCCGGAGATCAAGTCGGGTGGCTACTTCAGGTTAGCGGATGGGGTCATAATTGAAGTAAGCAGAGCGTACCGTAAAGTCGACAGCGTCATGAGCGTCGAGCGGAACGACGGTCGATCTCTGCTTCGCAGTCATGTCTGCGATGGCTTCATCAAAGACATTCCGTTGCTCTTCGTCGCTCTTGGGCTTGTGTTCCGCCTTGTGTTCTTCTGCGACCTTGAAGTCGAGTACCTTCTGCTCAATCGGCAGATCGAACTGGCTGAGTGGATATAGCCTAACGAACTTGTGGCTCTCGGCGACGACGTAGAAGGGCTTTCCTTTGCTCTTAGCCAGTACGCCCAACTGGTACGTGCCCATGCGCGATATGATGCCACCGTTCTCGACGACGCCTTCAGCTCCGACAATGACCATGTCGACCTTGCCCAGTGAGTAGGCGACGGCCGAATCTGGAATTGTGGCGACTGGCACATTGTGCTCTCGGAGGTCGGCGACAGTCTGGAGGCCCTCTTTCGCATCTGACGAGCTTGACGAGGGCAAGACGTATATGACCTTGAACCGGAGAGTGCTCGACTCGGCGGCCGTTCGCAGTAGCGCACCCACTACTCGCGATCCTCCATTTGTGAGCACCGTGCCGCCGTCACGGATGAAGTGCTTGCCGAAACTCGCGATCTTCTCCCTGCTCTGTTTCGCACGGTCCACAAACAGCTTGCCGTTGGAGAGGAGGTGGTTGCGTATCGCGCGGAAGTCATCGTCGGGGCCGAGGTTCAGGCTCGCCGGGCGGTTGAGCGTCGTGATGAGGTAGCGCTGGAAGAGATCTGTGCCGGCGGACAGGGAAATTGGGTTCGCGATGGAGGCCTTGAGAGCGGCGGTGTGGCGTTCGAGCAGGTCGAGTGTCTCTGCGACGGTCGAGACGGAGCTCTGCGCGATGGCTTCTACGAGCGCCTCGATGGCCGCGACGGGCATGGTGAGTTCCGGGTCATCCTTGAGGATGCGGCGGTATGTCGCTACAATGTCGAACGTCGACTGTGTCTTGACTCCGGATTCGGTGCTCATCTTGGCGGTTGGTTGCAGCGTGTCGGTCCCGTCAACTTTTTGGCGTGCAACATTTTGGAGGGGTGCTTCGCGATTGAGTCATTCGCCAAGATTGGGGGGCTAGCTCGTCATCCCTCCCCAGGCGTTCACCCTTCCACGCGCCAGACCACTCTTTGCCATGACTTTACACTGCTGCATGAGTTTCTCTGTCTTCATCCCACACTCTGCTGCTCTAGAATCTAGGAATTGCCAGACGACTTCTTTTACCCACTTTAACACCATGGCAAGGATCCATCCACGATCGCCTTCACTCCTTTGGTATGACGCGGGTTGTGTAATGCTCCGTTTGCTGCGGAATTTGCAATCGTTGGATGCCACTCACCCGTAACGATGACCATGGCCCGCTATGTTACGATACGTTGACCAAAATCACCCTCAGCTGTGACTGTACATTACCTGAAGAGCCAGACTCACTCCACGCCAACACGTAGTTTCCAATCTTCGGTGTTCTCACTGATAGTACTCTCACTCTAGCAAACAATCAATTATATTCGTCTACGGTTGCCTTTTAGCAATCAAAAGGCCGCAAGGTATCTCACTGGCAAAGCTACACCTACTAACCACAACAACCAATACTGCTCCTAGGACAGTTACGATGCCGTACATCATCTATGTGCCCGGAGTCCTGCAACCCTACATCACCAACGATCCGAGGATCTACATGGACTGTTTCAAGATCTTCGAGTGGGTGTGCGAATCACGACCCTTCTGCGATGCATTCTGCAAGTCGGTCCGGCAAGACGAGAACGATCAGTTTCTATCCGACAGACGTCGCGGCCAACTTGAAGCCTACTGGATGGAGGAGCTCGAGCGGCGGACCAAGCCGAAGGAAGGACTTGACCCGCTGAAGGAAGGCAAACGACTGTCAACTGAAGCCGCAGTCGAACATTTGGCGGAGCATGACATCGACAAGAGTGTGTTGTCCAAGATCAAAGACCAGGAGGAAGGTGCACTCTGAGAGTTCGTGAGTCTGCGTGGTAGTCACAGCCCTCATCACCAAACGTCATCTATGGTACATTCTCACCTTCTCGATTTTGGGTGTTGCTAAATTGAGTAGTAAATAATAAACATCAAGCCTTTTGCGCCTGTAACCCAACACGCTTGACGACCACATTATACTGCTTTTACATTCTTTAGTCTCAACGGAGGCGGTGTCTATTTACAGTTCCCTTCTTATCACAAAACACAACAGCGTACTGTTGTGCCAATCCGAAAATGCCCTCACTTTGCGACCCATCGGAGTATCTGCCCAGTCAGCAGATACCACCAAGGCCGTCTATCAACTTCATCCCCTTCGATCCCGTTTCCATTGAGATACCTATAGAAGCTTTCTACCGCGAGTACCGGGTAGATTCACCAGGAAGGATAGTGAAGTATCGCTATGTAACTACGCCCTCCGCAATGGCATGCAGGATAACAGTCGTTTCGCTTTCTACCATCATAAACTGGCGGGCGGGTATCTCCGAACTGGCACCTCCGGGTGCTCTCTTCAACAAAACAGATGGTCTGTACTATCAAGACGAGGTCGTTCAAACACCAGGCCAAACGCCACCCGACGACAAGCCAACGTTCGAGTCATTTGTTCGACGAGTAAATTCACATGCTCCTACTACCGTACAGCATCCAGCGATGTCTCATGACGAAGCTCAGTCCGCCCCCGACGGCAAGCCAACGTTCGAGTCATGTGTTCGACGACTGAAGTTACATTTTTCCACTGCCGTACAGCATCCACCGATGTCTCATGACGAGACTCAGTCCGCCCCCGGCTTCGTAGCGGGCCATGCTCAACGCACTGCGGAAGGTCCATCGTCCGACGAGCAGCTCCACACGACTCCTTCGGGCAAGGAACAAGGCTACAAATTCGCCGAAAAAGGTCTCTCGAGATATGCGCCGCAGTCGGCAGGAAACTCTCTCGACGAGGAAGTCATTGGACACAACTGGGTTAAGCCCGGGCCAGGAAACAGGCGCGCGCATGGGTCAACGACTACACCACCCGGTTTACGACGTGGCAGGAGTGCAGTCGGTGGAGAATGCAGCGGATAGCTGGCCCACGAAGTAACGTACGGGAAATAGAATGAGGATCATGCTTGTGGGTTATCGGAAGAAAGAAGTTGCATGGAGATGAAGCTGGGCGAGCAAGATGTCAATGGAGTGTATTGTGATCAACGCCTAGGCATGTCTCGCACAAATGAATCCAAACTTCTACACACTGCATATTCGTTTCGAATGGTCTCCCAGCCCTTTCTAATGTAGACTAACCACGCGGTCGATACGGCGGTTGTTCACTACGTGCATTAAGCGTCCAATTCGTCTCTCAAACAGACGCTCAACTAGATGAAACAGCAATCCCTTAGCGTGGCTGCTGAAAGACCAACAGACAGAAAAGGCCGGAATAAAATTTAGCGAATCATCGCGATATCTGATGCGGCTGTGTCTGGCGATGACGCACCTTGCACGGCACTCGCGGGTCTGCCCGTGGCTCCACAGCGCTCAACGTCATATGCATGCGCCAATGGAGCAGGAGTTTTCAGCCGACCCTGAGCCTGTCCGCAGCCGAGCACGCGACCTCTTACCTAAACGAGCGTCACCGAAACAGGACGCGAAGCCTGCACTATAGAGTCTTTTCCACTATAACTATATATACAGTCGTCTATAGAAGAACCGCCTTGTCTACACATATTCTACCAACAACAATATTAACCGTGAATCTGGTGTCGCTCCTGTCTTTAGTCAGCCTATTATCAACAACATAGCTATACTATTAGACATTGCCTCAAAAGTTAAAAACACACGACTCGTTCTACCTACTAAAGACGAACTATCCGCGACTAAAGGAAACAATCTATAGTAATTATAAACTAATTTATTAATAAACTACCTAGGTAAATAGCTTACTTTATATATTATTTACCTACCTCTAAACGCTCTATTTACTTTTAACTAAACTAAATACTTTCTTTTAAGAGTAGCGCGCGTTTACTAATAAATTATTTTACTTTTTGCTTTTTAGTAGGTAGTAAACTTTAGAGCTTATACTACTCTTTAGCTTTAACTTTCTTAGGCACCTACCTAAGCTTAATACTATACTAGAAAGTTTTAAATAGCTATTTAACTAGAGGCTTTATAAGCCTATTAGTAAAGTTTATCTTACTACTTACTTATTTTATTTAGATTAAGCCTTTTTTAACTTTCTCTCTAATAAAATAGTAGTAAATATTAATATGCTTAGTTCTAGCATAAAATATTAGGTTCTTTACTAGAGTAAGAGCCTCTTTATTATT